TAAACCAGCATCCAGTTATGTGTCAGCAATTTCAGATTTCGTCTTCACAAACGATTTCTATTCATTGGATCCTTAGTCATTTGCTTGCCTGTGCAGAATGCAGGGAGTCACTCGTTTTCCATAGGAATCACAGAAGTTCTTAATACAAACCTTTTGATAGAACTAAGTGCTGATGATATAGAATATGTCTATCAAAGGTGCCCTCAGAAAGCGACCTTACTATTTTGCTTTTTTCTTTCATTATCATCGAAATGCATGCCAATTGTTGATATTCACCAGCACTTCCAATTGCAATAGCACGTGCCAGCAACATGAATAGCTTCCATTATTAAGCTCTATCTGGGGTCAAAGCCCGTCTTATATCGTTGCCTCGTGGCCTCAACTTTTTATAAATTTATTTTTTTCTTTGTTACAAGTCTCTTTTATCTGGCTATTCTGTGGTTTTTATTACAAATGATGGAACCATGTTATTTTCCCTTGCTGTAACCAATAGCATAGGATTCATGTGTTCAATGATTATCCCGTACACTTCAAATGGGTATGTCTTTGATACCATCCTCATTTTGGCAATATGCATTTTTTCACACTATCATTTGTGTAATATGGGCTAGGGAGGATACATTTTTGGTCTTGAAACACTTTTCCCCTGTGCACGATGCTGCTCAAACTGGTTTGCAGATAAAAGTGGTCATTTAAATGCTAAAGTGTTATTGTTGCACATTGTTCCTCAAAGAAACAGAACTGGGCAAGGAAATTGATTAGATTTTGGTTCTGTTTTTTATTTAGATACTTTTGGAGTACAAATTTTTTTTGCTCATTAGCTTAGTCACAGACATTTTATTAATCTCCTTGTCATTAAGAACACAATGAAAGCTTCAACATGGTGCATTTATGATTTCATGTGATATTTTAGTAGAAGGGCTTTCTTCTTATTGTTTTGGGCAGCAGTGTCATATACTTCCTTTTCTTTACAGGAGTCCTGGAAAAATTTTAAGCATTACTATCCCAACCTTTGAAGCCCTTACTCAGTTTGGGACTGCTACAATCACAACTAAAAATATTGGTGAAGTGGAAGCATCTTATAGCCTAACGGTGAGTTGATAATTCAATAATCTTTTCTTGACATATCACATTGCAGTTGCAGAGTTTTCTGTGCTGATCCATATGTCATGTTATTCTACTATATGTCAATTATTAGCTTGACAACAAAAATTTGGGGATAATTGAATATTCGTGCATTTTTCTTCTTGCTTGAGAAGGGATTGATATAGATACTTTGCTTATGAGTTGGGCCCAATACTTTATTTGATTGCCAGTAAAATTTTGGCGAATATTACTAATTGGAGTCTAAAAAAATGAACGTAAATTTGGATGAAACTTTTGCAATCTTGCTCTTTCAGCCACTGTTTTTCTCTTTAATTTGTCTGTGATCAAATTCTTTGTGTTGCAGTTTGATTGCTCAACTGGCATCAGCCAAATGGAGGTATTTTACTAATACATTTTCTCTTCTGTCGCCCCCACAAAAAGCAAAAAAATATTACTATGCATCTGATGTATGAGTTGGCCAATATCTGTGTTGTGATAATCTTCCAAGGGATAACAGTTTTGAATGTTTACTCTCCCATAGGAACAATTTTATATAATGAAGGCCGGAGAAATTACAACTCGATCATTCAAATTGTACCCAACCACCGATCAAGCTGCAAAATATGTGTGTGTAGGTATGTTTGAGTATTAGACTTGTGCGGCTCTTCAGTTTTTTGCGAAGATAAATAATTTTAATTCTAACTACCAAATCTCAGGCCATATAAGCATGTTTGGTTGCAGCTATACTTAAGGACTCTGATTTTAATGAAGTTGATAAAGCTGAGTGCCAATTCACTACTACAGCCACTGTTCTTGATAATGGATCACAGGTTCCACAGTGCTTTTAGATTTAATTGTTGTCCGGCCCATTGGCATTTCCTAAAGTCACAGGTCATATGCAAAAATTTGGCTTCTGCTGACCTATTAAATGAACAGTAGATGTAGCTACTTCATATAATTAGATTTTGTCATATGACTATAACACCTACAATGGAGTCATATGCAGCAGGAAGCATTCAGAGGATAATTAACCCTTTGCCATTCTATTTTTCCCTCTTAAAGTTGTTGACTTTGTAGCATAGTTAAGAGATTTGGCCAGGGAAATAACTCAGAAAAAAGGGTCCAGATCAATTGGTCACTTACCCAACCGTGGGGTCAACTGATCAAAGCAGGAGAACATTCAAATATGTTACCAAAGTTATTATCCTAACAAATGTTAAAATCTAAGAATAATGATAGTATCATTTTAGTTATAGTCGTTATTATTAATACTGATTGTAGAATGTAGTTCTAAAAAGGTGTTTTTGCATGCGCATATATGAAATATTGAAATGTTTAGTCTCGTAAATATATACTCAAGGTCTTTTTTTTGTTGGTCAAGTGTGATTTACTTTATGTATTAGAACACATGGTTACTCTTTGTAGATGACATTAGGTATGAAACACCACTTTAACGCTCGTCTATTATGTACTAATGTGCTAAAAAAGTTTAGGTTAAGGAAGATCGTGGTTGGGATCTCGATTACAACCTTTAAGTCTTTGGTTTGACTCTCACGATCCAAATATTTGCAATGTCTTTTTTTCTGAAGTAAAACTTGTTTGGATTTCCAAAACCTGCCCTGAATGGAACAACTTGATCTGAACCTGATGCGATGGGGTTATGTGGGTTATATTCTTAGCTGGTTAGAGTTGTGAAATATATTTTATGTTGTTAGCAGTCCTTACCATGGAAAACAATCACGGAGAGAAGAACTTATAAATTATTAGAACAAAACAATGCAAGAGAATTTTTACCGGACAATGAACTACTGGATTTTGACCTGTGAACAGAAATTATACATGATACGACCACAAATCGAGATATGTTTACAATGATAACAAAAAAAAAAAAATTAAATATGTAAACTTATTTTATGTGGTTTGGCTATAGTCACCCACTGGTATGACTAACTAGCTGTTTCAAAGGATGCATTTGGCACAACTTCTTAAAGTAAAGAAACACTGGATGTTAGGTGATCGTATGTTTTGGATGTACTTTTGAATGAAGCAATACATTCCATCTGTGTATGAAAGTATGTTTGGTGGAAACATCTTAAAAGTGCAGAAAGTGATGATAATGTATTGCTTGCAACTATGACGGTTTGGTGTACATTGTTAATCAAATCACAAAAAATCACTGTATTGTTTTTCCAGATACCTTTTCAACCTCCAAAGACCAGTATAAATGGTTTCTTTGAATCTATTGAGGACTTGTGGAACAAACTGTGGGATGGTTTGGCAGACTTCATCACGGGAAAAACTTGCAGGTATTTTTTTTCAGCCAGGTACATGCATCTAAGATACTTGGAAATTGAAACATACTTTGGAATTTGGGTATTCACGGATTTGTGTTCATAGTTCAAGTACACTACGTCGACATCTATTTGCATTCTCACTTAGCTTGGATAATTTTTTTTCTCATTCGAATACATAAATTTGGAGTTTTAATTTGTCTGTCTGTCTGTCAGATACACTGTTTTTATTCTTTGCTGATGTCACATGAGTGTAGTAATTCTGGCTTTGCATCTAAAAGATGTGTTCTCATGATTCTTTTGATGAGCAGAATGAAATGCTCTGGTTTCTTCGACTTCAGTTGCCACATACAGTATATCTGTATGAGTTGGATAGTGATATTTGGTCTACTTTTGGCAATTTTTCCCACAGGTGGTTGCTCTTTTCTTTGGAAAATTATGTATAAGGTTGATGTCTGCATTTTATAGCAAGTGAAAATTTTATAATGTTCTGTACTTTCTGAGTTGCAGTGCTTGTGCTACTCTGGCTTCTACATCAGAATGGAGTATTTGATCCTCTTTATGACTGGTGGGAAGATCATTACTGGACTGATGAACATAGAAGTGGATATATCTGGAAGTATGGAATTGATGATGAGGTTCCACAAGTCCATTTTAAAAAACATCATAAGCAGGAAGTAAGGCATCATAAGCATGATGCTCAGAAAAAGCGAAGAAGTATCCACAACGAGCACAGGCACAAATATTCAATACAGGACACTGATTATCATTATTACCTTCACCATGTTCACAAGGACAAGAACAAACATGGAAGAACCAAGAGTCCAGGCATCATAAAGCAAGTTTACTTGAATGAAGGAGAGGATGATAATGTTGGGCATCGCAGACGCATAAAAGAAAAAGATACCATTGAAGAAATTTCCAAATTTGCTATGCATGGTGATGTAAACAGAAAGGAACATCATAAGCGTAGACATGCACCATTAGATGACCCACACTTTAAGTTGCACTCTAAGCGGCGAGAATAGGAGGAATTGGATCGGTGAAAATTCTTTTTATCATATATCAAGCATCTTCCTTTTTTGGAATATTTTGTTGAAATTTCTCCTACTTCCATTTTTCACTTGTTTTGTTGTTGGTGGGATTGGGGAACCAAGAACTTGAAAAATCTTTTCATATATTTGATTTCGTCACATGGAGATTCAGTGAGGTAAAAGGGGTGATAATGGAACTTGTTACTACTAGTTCTTACACTGATACATGTTATGTAGTGAATTTGTGCATAACCTTTTCCATTTCATTTTCCCTTTTTTTTCCAGCTTGTGACATTTTTGCATTGAGGCAAAAACAAAAGCAAAAGCACAAAACTTTTCATTCGGTTCTGAGAAAAATGTTCCTCGGCTTGGTCTTCCTTTTCAGTGAGATCGTAAGGAGCTTCCCCCTCCCACCCCCCTCTTTTAACACACTGAAGCAGTTGTTGACCGTCATCCTCTTGTAGCTTCAGAACATCAATCCTGTTTGGTAGCATTTACGTTGAAATTTCTTGGTCTCATGCATCTAGCAATACAAATGACTTGCCTGTACATCACGGGGGATCGTAAAATAGAACGTTGGTTCCTTCCTCTATTTGTCTCTCACAGAGATCTGAGCATGAAAACCTTTTGGAAATTGTAAACCGGGTGTTCGGACAATATCTCCTCCTTTGATGGTGCAGCACCTGAGAATTTCCGACGTAAAACAGGTTAGCCACTCTCTTCTTTTCTCATGCATGTTTGCTTATAGACACAATATGTGATGTTCTTACTCGAATTTTGTTACCAAGTGGTGGATGAATACGGCCATTTGCACCTTAGTGAACTCTGTTCCAACACAAAATCTCATGCCACCTCCAAAAGCCATGAAATGTTTAGTTGCACCATTTAGTTCCACTCCCTGTATGCCATCAGTTGTTGCACAATTTGAGAATTCAGAAGAAAGATAAGGTGAATTGGTTTAATCCTAGTCCAGTTTCTCACCAGAAGTAAACTGCTTGCATGTGAAAAAAAAATTAAATTCAATAAATAGAAGAAAATTCTAAAATTTTTAACTTACATCCCATCTCCATGGATTGAATTCAAGGGGTTCTTTATATTTGGCAGGGTTCAAGTGCACGGCTGGAGGACAAACCATAATTGCCCATCCAGATGGAATGGTGTAGCCTACATAATGAAATTTTGTTGGCCAGGTAAGTATACCTTCAGATGATAAAAACATACAGTTTCTGTAGCAGGAAATCGACTATTTAATCTTTAATATACCTTTAAACTTGATCTCTCTGAGTGTCTTTCTGAAAATTCCAGGAACTATGTTTGCTAGTCGGACAGTTTCATTGATAAACTGCAATTTTAATTGATCTTTTAGCACAGTAGAGCTACTCAAGCCATTGGTTTCGAAATCTTTTCTAGCTTTGTAAAAGAGAAAGTGACATTGATTGAATACCTGAATTGTGAAAGTCATTGATTTGTATTCCTTCCAAGTGATTCCAGAATCCAAGTTTTCCCGTCTTCTAAGAATTGCCTCGTGTTCTTGCTGTGGAGAATATTAGTGCGTGTCAATGGGAGAAATAAATTGAAAGGATATTGATAGGTTGTTCTAATCTTAATAGATATCATCACTTACCCTTAATTCCTTCAACACCAAAGGATGTTCCACAAGAAATTTAATGGCTAAAGTCAGAGCCAGTGAAGTTGTCTCAAAGCTGGCAAATAGCAACACAAACATCAAATCCAGAGCAATTGCTTCTGTGAGGATTGTATCCTCTTTCTGAAGTTCTTCAAGGACATGATCAAAGAAGTCACTTCGGTGCTTCCTTGGCTTCAATCGCCTTTCCTGTAGCATGTTCTTCAGCATCTTCATTGCCTTTTGTCTTCCCTGCATACACTTGTGATATGCGGTGCCCGGAATGTCCAAAGGGAAGGAGATTAATCCTTGCATGAAAGCCACAAAATTCTCCCTCAGATTCTCTGAGGACTTCTCAGGATCATAACTGATCAGTTTCTTTGCAGTCAGATCAAAAATCATCTGTAAACTTCAGAATATTATTAGTTCATCTGAAACATTAGAGTTTTGGGAAATTCTAATGAGAAGAAGAAATAGTTAGCCTGAACTCACTCTTGCAGTTGCATCCTTCAAATCAACTGAGTCCTGATCTGACCACATTTTCAAGTTTCTACTTGCTGTCTCTTCAACTTCAGGAATCATCTTTTTAAGGCTTTCAGGACCAAATAGATCGAGCACCATGCTTTTGAGGTATTTGTACAAGAACCCATGCAAAGAACCTACATTTTGTCGCCCAAAGATCTCTGTGAAGGTGTCCGGGTACCAGCTCTGGAACAAGTGTCCCTCTTGTTGGAAGATGAAATAATTAAGATCTGAGTCTGTTGATACTATGACTGGACGACCCACCAAACTTGTTCTGAATATGGGCCCATACCTGGAAGGTGATAGTCAAAGGTATTATAAAATGCAGAACATGAAGACGATGATGATGGTAGTGATGGTGATTGAACTACTAGAACAGCTAATTTGATAAGTTATAATAATAGCATTACCTTTCCATTCTCTCTTTGACGAATGGAGGAATATCAGATGACATGTTGGGGGCGAAGAACTGAAGACTTTCTCCAAGAAGTGGCCATCCCATTGAACCCGGTGGGAGTTTTCCACTGCACCTTGGATTCCTCCATCTGAAAACCCAATGTGTAATGCTTATAAAGACCAAAACTCCAATGCACAAAGCCAGTGGCCACATCTTACTTTTGAATATGTGAAAAAGAAGGGTAGAGACTATCTAGAAGAGAGGATTGTAATGCTGATAATGGCTGGAGTTTTGTGCACTAAACTGCCTTTTATGTGGATTTTCTGAGAAGGGCCTGTAGGTTGATATCAGAAGAAATGGAAGAGTTTAGGCAGGAAATGTGGGAAGAGATGAGAGAGTTAAGGTAGGAAATGTGGGAAGAGGAGACAGAGAAGAGAGGGGAGTGCTGGCATGTGTCTCCATATTCATGAGGACTAGTTAAATAGGGAGGCAGAACTCACAGATAGTTAGAATGATACTAATATTAAATTGGGTTCCTTTTGTTTTTGGGAGTTGATTGCTCAAAGCTGTACAAAGCAGTTGGAGATAAGAAAAGAATAGGTAGAATAATTTTGTGTCTAGAGACCACCCACTATTAATATATTCCTTGTCAACGGAATCTATAAATATTTGTGTAAAAGCCTAATATGACAATGAAGCTTCCTGGATATTCTCTCTCTCTGCCTGGTTCATAGTTGAAGAGTCATGAAACACGAAACCGAGGGAGCACGAGGCAGGTTTATGGCATTTTTTAAGGAGGTGTTTAGCAGACACAGGTGGTCTCTTCCCTAGATTTGAGAGGATAGAGGTTCAAAGGATCTGTGTGTGACTGAACTAAGTATGAAACCAATCTTCAATGGATCATTAAATAGTAGAATCTAATGGGTTTCACCAACTTTATATATCATTCCTGTATCTTTGCTATATACTTTTGGTATCTATGTAATGTTGATGTTATGAGAGATGCCACACATGTTCTTGTTCTCTTTCTCTCTCTCCTCATTGTTTTTTAAGGATTAGATCTCACCCAAGATCTTCTTTAGCTGTAACCACAATCTCATGTCATATTCTCAATCTTAATAACATCAGCAGTGATTTCAAAGTGGAGTTTGTAGATATGCAGGCAACTACTGTATCTGCATTTTCTGCTTAAATTACTTGGTTTTGTTATCTTCTTATAATGTGTGTTTGCTTGCTTATCAAAGCAACCCTAGTTTAGTAGATTGAGTACTCCTTTCAAGTTTCAACACATTGAGCACCACCCCCTCCGGCCCTTTGAGCCACGGGCTTAATACCATTCAACTACTACCATGTAGGTAGGTCACTGTGTATCATAACCCACAATTATGTGCTTTTTTGCTTGTCTCTGTTTGATAGTTCTATTTGCCAAAGCAAGATTGGAGAAACTTTAAGGTATAGATCTGAAATAATGCAATTTAGACACTGTTATGGTCTAAGGAAAGAAAGGGGTAAGAACATGAGCACAGGTTCCAAAAAAAATTGAGTTGTGGAACCTCATTTAAAGTAATACTCTGCTATAGCTTGGCTTTTAAGGTTATTGTCTTGTTGAGTGATCAAATTTTGGACACGTAATCATCAGAAATTTGCTCCTTTTTAATATTATTATTGGTGGTGCTGAGTTCCCTAACTCTCCTCATTTTGCATTTAAGTAATGTTATGAATTGGTAATAATGTAGACTTTGCCCGAATTGTTCTTCAATTTTTTATCATAAATTGTTCTTCAATTTTTTATTATAAATTAATACACGTGAGTTGAAAGTGTTTGGAACATAAGCTTATATGTAAATTCACACATTGTTGGCGCATCATGTCATTTGTACATAATATGATTACTATATATCTAATTGAGAAGACTCTATTTTCGATACACAAAACAGTGTCAAATTAATTATAGATAAAGATTTGTAGTGATAGACATATTTTATTCAAAGTATTTTTATTTCACGTTTTTCAATTTATAACAAAAAATTGAACGACAGTCTAAATTAAGTTTACATTAATAGTAATTCATAGTATTGAGGGTGCAAAGTAAGAATCAAAACGTGTTTAAGTTTTTAATTTAAAGGGCTTTTTTTATCATATAAGAATTCAAGTTGTTAAATTAAAATAAATGTATGGCTTGATAGAATGACACGGATTGCTTAACTGCTTGGCCTGGCCTTTAAAAGGTCTCCTTAATGGGGGTGCAGAGCAATGACAGCTAAAACTATTATTCTACAATTTATAATAAACAATTCAGTGAGAAGAGTTCGGATCTAGAACTATTACTTATGTTTATAGTTTATATACGTCACGATTTTGAAACCCAAAATTCACTTTTTTTTTAAATTGGAATAAAATTGTCTATTACTTATGCATAAGGTGTTAATCGAGATGAGTTATTCGGATCCGATTTGGATAAGACTCGATTAAAGTTCTCGATTTCTATGAGTTTGAACTTTTAAAATTAAACTCGTTTATATATAAAATAATTGAGTTATTCGAACTTGAATCGAGTTTAGGAGAGACTTGGCTCATGTTAGTGGCGCATATTTAGGACCATGTTAGTGTTAAAAACCAAATGCTCTCTAAAAAACTAAGTGATACTGACTGTATATGCTGGCCTTAAGTTTTAGAACAACTGGATCCACCACAGATGATAGGTTTAGATGGTGAGTCCTTTTCTCCTTCAAGGTAGGTTAAAGAAATTCAACTGACCTTGAACATGTCTAATCACCAACTCTAACAATAACTAATTTATTCTAGGATGAGAAGATTGGGGATAAAGTCATTTTGCTCCTGAATTTGGTTCTCTTTCAATAGCACATACTATTCAATTATTTTTAATAATACATTTTTCATAAATTCAACTAAATTATACGGTATATAAGTGATTCCCTCTCAATTCTCAATAAGTTTCATGTAGAATTAGAGTTGTTAATCAAGTTAAGATTTACGAGTTCAAGTCGAACTTGCCGAACTGATTTCAAAAGGAGTCGAGCCAAACTGAATAGTTCGACTATACAAAACTCGGCTTTTTAAACTTATTTTTTTAAATAACCTTAAGAAATTATTTAAACTCAACTCGTTAACTGAACTCAAAACTAATTGAATATGAGTTAAGCCCAAATATCTTAAATTGATTATCAGTCCTGTGTAGAACTCATAATACATAAATGAGTAACTTACAAATGCATGGTGAAATTTTTTTGTTCTGTTGATGTACATTAAATGATCTACCATTAAAGAAAATTGACGCTCAGCATCCTCAATCAAAGAAAGATTAACATGAATTAAAACTTCATCTTATTGGGTGGTGGTGGGTGTGATTGTAGGATGAGGAGGGGGTATTAAAGAAATGCATTAGTTTAAAAGGCAGTCCCATCAATTTGGAAGGGAAAGAGAAAGAGAAAGAGATATATATTAGCACTACGGGCATGTTAACTCTTAATTAAGTATGGTTAAGTGCAATATTTAATTGGTAAACAAGGTCATTAACTAAATCTAGAAGTTTTAGTAGTTCATAATACGAGTCATTAGTTCTCCTTTGTCATCTTCGGGTAGTCAAACAAAACCCATCCTTTATAATCTATTACAACATGACAAAAGGTGGTGTTAACTCCAACAAAATGTCGTTTCTTCCTGGGTATAAGGGTTGACACTTCTGTTGCAATGCACACCTTAATCCTAGTAGGTAAGTTTAAATTACTCTCGCTCTTCATATCTCTCTCTCTCTTTTTAACAATTAGGAGTATTCGAACCAACTAATGTTCATTTCGACAAATTTCTTTCTTGATCCAATCAAAGACAATTCATCACGTGGAAACTAAATTATTTATGAGGGATAAATCTCTCTTAATTTGACCCCAAAATATTGTCAAAATTCAAGTTCTAGATATTTGAATTTATAACTCGTCTCTATTATCATTTAAACTACCTCGAGATTTTCTCTCTCAATCCTAGTAGATAAGTTTAGATTACTCTTTCTCTCTCTCTCTCTCTCTCACACACACACACAAAGTAACATAATAATGTGTGCGTAATCAAACTCATATTATTGAATTTAAAATAGAAAATGTATTGATGCCACGTACAAATATGCTTAGCAATTCATTTTGGTGATTTGAACCAAACTATTATGGCCTTTATGGAGCAAAATATGTTGTTTGCTCTTAGGGATACAAATGAACCGATACAAGTTGAACACTACACTATTCGGGTACGACTCACATTCACAAACAATTTTCTAGATTGGTTCACGATATAGATCCAAGATTGTGATGAATTTTAAACATATTAATCATGCTCGGGATGTTCATTTTTTGTCCAAATATAGATTCCATTTGGCTTGGTTGCTTATATATATATGTGTGTGTGTGTGTGTGTGTGTTCCTAACAAGAACAAACCATTGCTTGCCTCGTCTCAATTCATTTATTAAACAAATTTTTAATATGAACTTGAACTTAAATCGTTTGATAAAAGAGTGAACATGAACGAACTTCTATCCAGCCGATGCAGATGCACTTTGACAAAGAAGGTACCGTGCAAAAGAGAGCTTTAAAATCAGTTATAAGTACAACACCTTCACCTTGAATGAAGCGGGTTGAGAAGAGGCTATGTTTTCTAATTTAAAAGATCACTTTCATGACTTGATTGGATCAAGAAAGAAGTAGGACCATTCAAAAGGATCTTTTTTGAACTTGATTTTGAAGCGTAGTTTTCCCTTCTATTTTCAACTACATATATATATATGTATATAACAAGGAGTGGAGCTAGAGAATATCTCTCCCCCGGCTAGGCGACTCCATTGACAGTATATAGGCTAGATCAGTACCATAATCTACACATTCAGCACACAAGTCTTGGAATGTCAGGGTGATGTATGCCATCTTCAAGAACAAGAAATACAATGTTTTCAGAGTGTATATCAGTAAACATCTTGGATACAAACGGCCATTTACTACGACGGTTGGTATTAAGTAATGGACTAGCAAATTGACCATGTGGTCATGCATGATCTAGTACACTCATGAATATAGCTTTGGAACATGAACCTAGTTGCTTTTGCTAAACGACGACAAAGCCTTAAGGAACTAAATTTCATTGACTTCATGTACACTCCAAATTGATATCCTTGTTTCAGTTGCACTTAAAGGACACATGCCCAAAAAGGCTCAAGGGTCAAAGCGTACCATCACTGTTGGTAATTTGACGATGGAGCATGTGGCGCAACAATACTTCATGATGAAAACATGGCGTCTAAGTTAATTTGCATGTGGACATTACCACCCAGCTGGCCCATGTTATGGTGCTGAGACATATCTTTGAAGCAGCAAGAGAAGTTGAACCACCATAAAATGCCCGGTAGCAAAAACCGCGTTTGGATGGATAACATTATAGCATATCTGCTATCTCAAGCCTTTGGAGTAGTCTAATTATCCTGTCATGTTTGAGCATGCAATTAAACTCTCAACAACCAAAATAATCTGTACCAAGGGATTAACAAACGCATAAATTTATGACGCATACTATAAGAGAATAAAATGGTTCTACGCAATATGTCAACAAGAGATGCATCAAAATATCCTTTTATTTCGTACAATACATGGAATCAACACCAAAAACAAAGCGGGAAGCAAGTGTAAGCAACTGCTGTTGTGAAGAAGAAGTTTGCATTGCCAGTTTCCTGATTTCATTAAGTTAGGAACCGAAGAAATTGCTAATATGTGCATGCATCAGGCAGACATTTGCCCTTCATATCCAATAATCCACAAAAGAGTAAAAAGGAAAATTGCATATCTGTATGACATGTAAGGCAGATTCTAAGATGGAATCCATGCAATAGCCATCAATAAAGAAAGAGAAGCGGCCAACTTACCAGCTAGTTCATTGACCAACAAGCCCAACAAACCCAAATATAGAGCCAAGTCCCCAACCTGATCAATTTAAAACCGAACGATAAACAGACAAATGGACAATCACAATATTAAATTCTTTTAGCAGCAAATACAAGTAAAAAGAACAAGCTAAATACAATGGTGCAATTTTTAAGACAACACTTGGTTGGGCCAGTTCTGGTGATACAAGTAAAATTGTATTGTGTTGGGTTGACCCTGGGGGGAGGGGGGGAAAAAGAGACAAACTAAAGATAAGATGAAAAGGCTACATAAGGAGAATTGAAGGGCAATCCAAATATTTGCAAATCAAGCTAGAAATTTTTAAGTCGGGGCCAATGGCAAGTTGTGCAAAACGATGGGAGAACTTACGGACGGATAAGATTTAAGCATTGAAGAGATTGCAATGTACACAAAAGCCAGAAACAGGTCCGATGGTTTAGCCATATGGCTAGTGGCAACAATCATGAACAGAATATTTACATGGAAAACTACAAGAAAGAAATTTCTAATAAGTCAAAGTTTCTGCGAAGTACCTGCATTCAAGTGACAAATAAATCAGATAAATTGTGAACCCTTAGCTTAGTCTTATCAACAAACAAACACAAGGCTGCACTCACCATAAGACACGTGTTTGGAGATTAATCTTTCACAGTGAGAATAAGCCCATACAGTCTGCCAAAAAAATGAAGAAAACTTAGAAAATGGGTAATCAAAGTGTACAGTAAAACAAGTTTTCAAAAATTAAAAAAAGTGTACAAATCCACTGAAATCAAAAAATAAATAAACCCTAACAAGTGACAAAAAACTGTTTACATCAATTACAGGGACTCTTGATATGGATGCATAACACACAATGGAAAATTATAAGCACTTAAGCTGCAAATGATTGTGTATATAAGTTTAAAGAACACAAAACTGGCATGTGCTGGAAAACTACTTCAAAAATGATGCCTAATAAATACTTAGGCATGTGGGGAATAATTCTGTTTAAACATACGTTACCATTATGTTTAGTGTCCTAGTTAATGAATTAGAATGCACTAATCTGAGTCCGTAACAGATGAAGAACTCCATCCCAACTACACGTAAAAGCTCGATCAAGTAATGTCACTACCCAGAAAATGATTGAAGATGAAGTGCAAAAACAAAAATTCTGGCTCGAAGGTTCTAGGTGGAATCTACAGCAGTAGGGTGGACCTTTCTCGCTGCCAAGGACACTAGCTTTAGAAAGCAATCAGGGTAACAATGGGAAATCAACACATTTAAAACTTGGATTGTGGATCATTTTCCATAATTCATTAACTTTAAAAAGTATTTATGTTAAATATTATGTTATTCTCTCATTTCACAAAAAGAATCTGCAGGCGATTAGATGAAATCCTAAACAAGGAAGATATATGCAAAATAGGTCGGTACCTATTAAACATCTCCCAAAGACTACTATACTCTTTTACAGAAATGCCAGACAGAACTAAGACATATCCATACAGAAGCCCACAAAAAGAGAAATAGAACTGGTCGCCATGAGAAAGAAATCGGTTGCTTTAGTTGGCTTGTCAACCCCTTTTGGCCAGAATGGCTACACCCAACAAAATGTTACAAATCCACATCACTTCATATATCTATAACCACACGCATACAGGCAGAGAAGCTGAAATGAACTGTTGACAAAAGCTCATAGGTACCGTTTAACAGTGAGCGGACTGACGATTAACAATAAAAGAGGCGATCCATGGAAATGCCACAAATTCCTTTAACATATTAATAAAAAATTCAAACCCATAAACTGAAATGTGAATAGAAAACTAACCAGCATAGGGCGACATAGATGTTTGCTTTAACCAGTAACCCTCCGTCACTACAAATATCAAAGCATAAACGACGTATTAGTTCAATTGAACAAAGGACACACATGTGTGTGCTCGTATAGATATGCATTTGCATGAGTAGAGAGAGAGAGAGAGAGTACGACGGCGGAGGCTGGTGAGAGGAGTGGAGACTTCGGGACGAGAGGAGATTTTTGGGGAAGTAAATGAGAATTAGTCTGAAGATGAGTGATATCAATGTCCCATCCCCAAAAACAAAACCATTGCTTCTCTTTCTTGTTCCTCGTTTACTACAGTAGGGTTTCAGATCAGAGCCAACCAAAGGTTTTGATCTTGGGCATCGGAGGAGGAGCCTGAGTTGTTCGGAGCTCCAGGCAATTCCGAAGAAGCTGGCTGGCTGTCTAAACGGCGTCGTTTCTCTTTTCCAAAAGGGCCGGACATTCGTTACTCGCATCATGATCTTTTAATTGGGCTGGTCCAGTATTCTGGGATCACAATGAAGAGTCTAACAGCAAATTGGGTTGAAAACTAGGAGGATCTATTGGGCCCCTATTAACCCAATTTAGAACCAATTGGTTTAGGCCTTAGGTCTGGCCCATATAATACCAAATGCAATCGAGATTATTTTACATACCATATACCTAAACATTATTTTACATTTAGATGGTGTTGAGTGTAGGGCTGAAAATTGAACTGGCGCAAACGTCCCTAAACATATTTTCATCTAAATAAGTCGAATTTGAGTATTTACACATAAATAAATTGAATCTACCAGACTCGTTTTCTAAACAAGTTTAAAAAATTGTTCAAATTTAATTCGTTTAAAAAATAAAACAAGTCGAGCCTACATAAGTCCAAAACGATTCAAACTCGAGTAACTCGGTTCGATTATCAAACCTAATTAGGTGACATGACAAAATCCTAATCACAATTTTCAATATGTTACATTGTTGATTCAAAATTCACTCCAAAAAATTCGACACTGTATTAATATTCCAAATTTGTATTGTCTTAACATCACCTCCAAAAAAAATTTAACGTTTAAATGAAACTATTAGGATAATATTGAGTAAAATATATTCAAAAATTACATGTATCATTTTGTATGTTCATTAAAAAAATTCGTACCGTCCTAACCCCTAAAATGTCAGGCAAAATATTAATGAATCTTTGGTCTAATGGTACTCTTTACCTTGTGAAAATTTTGCATTCTTAAGGTCAATGATTCAAGTCCCTCTTCTTTTAAAAAAAAATTACAAAAAAAAAATGTCAGGCAAAATATTAAATGGTCTAATAGTACTCTTTACCTTGTGAAAATTTTGCATTATTAAGGTCAATGATTCAAGTCCCTCTTCCTTTAAAAAAAAAATTACAAAAAAAAAAAAAATGCCAGGCAAAAAGTTTGGAAAGCATTTGTGATTCCTGAGTATAAATGTTAATTGTTTGAAAATTTGCCATCATTATCATATTTAAACCCCCAAATTACCCCTATATTTTATAAACAATAATGTTATATTTAATTTAAAAACCTAGAAATAAAAATTTTAAAAAATAAAAAAAAATACTAAAAATTAACTCATATTTACCTTCATCAATTCTCTCTCTCTCTCTCCAATAAAAAAAATTAAAATTAAAATAAAACTCTCTTTCTTTATTTGTTAAAAAATAAAATTATTTTTCTGTCAATCTCTCACATAAAAAATTAATACTAAAAAAAAAAGTCTCATTGAATGTTTTTGTTTTATATTTTAAATTAACTTGAGCCGTCCTTAGATTAATGAATTTCCATTCGCTCTTTCAAATGTTAGAACATTTTAGAAGGAGTATTTAGACTTGAATTTATTAATTTTCTTGAGCACTTGCCACGGGAGTATAGCGTTGGATAAAATATATTTAAAATATGCATATATTGCATTGTGCGTTAAAAAAAAAAAGGAAAAAGAAAAAAAAACGTCTTTAAGCTAATTATTCCCAAAGAAATCCAAATATGGCCCACATGGCCCACAACTATTTCCTGGCGAACAAGTTTCGCACATTACAGAAAGCCCAGAAGGGGCAAGCCCTTTCACCTTAATTACCAAGCCAACCACAACACCCACAAAAGGATTCAGTACAGTCCACCACATTCCTTCCATCAAACACACAAGTCATCTGCTCTCTCCTTCTCTCCCTGTGTGTGTGTGTGTGTAAATTTGGAATCTTTGGAAATGGCGAGACCTAATCAGGAAGCAATTAACACCTACATGAATATAACTGGCGTATCAGAACCAGATGCTATACGAAAACTTGAGGTAATTTTACTAGCTCGCCGATCAAAATTCTGAGATTAATGTGATTATATTTATGGAGTTTTGTTGGTTTTTAGGCATCAGTTTCTGTTCATGTATGCTCCATTGCTTTACCTGATTGGTTGTAAACTGTTGTATGGAGCTCATAATTAGGGATTATATTCTGCCAAATCTTATCTCACTCATCGGTTCATTATTTGTCGTTCGACTGCTTGGACATGGAGTTTGCGTAATCTCTGGTTAAAAAAATCAGAGGAAAAGTCAATTTAACTTACCCTTTTCTTTTGGGCTTCAATTAAGCTGTTAAACCTTCGGTAAAAATGAATTATTATAGGATCAGTCAGGTGGAGCTTTATGTTCTGGCTTTCTGGATTTCACTCGCGGATGCACGATGCATGCGTTGAGTGCTATTTTAGCCAAACTGGGCATCGTAGTAAACGAGTCATCTTAAAGCTGCACACATCATATTAGCTAGCATTAGCAAGCATCATTTTATGACGTTACTTGAGAATTACCGTTAGTACTGCTAACTTAATGTCAATATGCTTTTGTTGATTAATGTGCATATTTAATTAATGGAAAATGCTATTTAAACTTAATCTGGGACTTATTCAATGGAGTCAATGGTTGAAAGTGGGTTTCATCTTATATTAGAACTAACAACTAATCACAATTAATCCAGACGGCATTGAATTAAGTCCTTGATTAGGTCCCCATAGCAGTGCTCTTAATTAATTGTCATTAGTGAATAGTGTGTTTACTATATTGTATGTGCTAACCAACCTCTGTTGTTCTGCAATCATCTCTCCTTCTGATACATTGATTCTGCCATTCTTGAAAAATACCCTTTTCGTAAACATATCCTCATAACTACTTCCCTTACAATTCTTGGTTAGGTCGTTTCACCTTTTAATTCACTGACCACATGCTTGCATAAGGCAGGCACACTAATTCAACCCAGAATGCTGGTTGAACTTGTTTTCCATCCCATTCTAAAGATAATCCTTTGCAGCTTGTCCAAATTTTCCTTGACCAGTTTTGGAATTGGATTTTGAAAAGAATGGTAAATTACTTTGCAAGCATGGAGATATATAACACTGCACTGAGGTTGACTGATATAGTGTCATGCAATCTACTTACAAAAAGGTTCATGCTTGTTGTTGTATTAATTTCTTTAGATCAATATCAACTTCAGATCGTCTAAGTTTGTTGTTTATGTTTTTCGTCCATTTTTGGATATGCTTGGTGGGTTAATATCTCGATATCCCATTATCCTTGCTTAGGTGTTGTGTGTCTGAAGCAGGTACTTCATGCATTGAGCAGAGTCTATATAACATAAAATGTTGTTTTTAAACAGTAATGCTATATTTGTTTGAACTCTTTAATTTGATATTGAAATTTTCTGTGGTAATCAGGAGCATGGTGGCAATCTCAATGAAGCCGTCAATGCGCATTTCAGTGAAGGGGATCGAAACATGTCTGTGCCCTTTATTATGTCGTATTTGCTTCTGTGTTTTATTTTTCCATTTCCTTTTCAGCCTGACAACAGTATCTCTTTGCTTTGAACACATGTTTAATTCTTACATTAGTTTTCATTTGGATGTTTTCCTTTGTTCAGCACACACGAAACATCTGTTCCTGCTCCTCAGGATGATGTCATGGACATTGATGATCCAATTCCAATTGCATCCCGTAGACCTCCTTTCTCACTTATATCTTCTGCGGGAAATGTGGATCCTTTTTCTCTCGTTGATCCCCTTGTCCGTAGAAGTATATTTGATAGTGGAACTGATTTTCCAAGCAGTGCACGTGCCCCTTTTGTGTCACATCCAAGAGAAGTGAGGGAGATCCCTATTGAGGTCAAGGATGGGAATGGGCAATCCGGTCATTCTGGTCTTGCTCCTCCCATTGATGATGTCACTGAAACTGCAGTTTCCCATGGCCCAGGAACCCATGGGACTGTAATAACTGATGATAAAGATGACAAAGATATTCCAACTGCATGTTCTGCAGAGCCAACTAGTTCTCATGACACGCATCCTAGACCAAGTTCCCCTGGAATTGCTGATTTACCTGACTATGGAAATGATATAGAAGAAGAAATGATTCGAGCTGCAATTGAGGCTTCCAAACGGGATACTGAGATAGTTTATCCAGATCAACAATTTGGTGTTCAATATGTATGTCAAGTAATTTTTCTTTTTCAATGGTTTTCTTCTTTCACCTATTTCGTTGTTAGAATTTTGATATATTTTCATCCTGATACAGGACCCAAGTGGTCCCATGCTTCAGCAAAGGCAATCTCACCTAGAGGATGCTGAACTTGCTCATGCAGTTTCGTTATCATTGGAGGTTTGCTTTTTCTATTATGATTGTATCCTCATGTTGTATGTTTTGCTTTGTTTTGACATTTACTGAATCCAGACAGCGGAGCAAGAGAAAGCATTGCGCGAACTGGGGGGGACAGAAGCATCAGATATGGAAACTTATAAGTCAGACAACATGGAAGAGCTAGGGCAATTAGCATCACCTAATGGAAGGTATATAAATCTTCTTTTGTTACTTGATATTGTGATGAATTCATCATTTAGATGTTTTTCTGGTGAAACGCGCGCGCGCACACACATACACACACACACCCACGCACGCACGCGCACGTGTGTGTGCTTGTTGTGTGTGTGTGTGTGAGTACATGTGCGTGGGTATTCTTGGAAGCAAGGATTTGGTTTATCTGACATGTGTATATAAAGGCCACCTAAGTTGGAGATGGGAAGCTCATCTGTCCAGGATGAAGCTGAAGATGTCGAAGAACAGCCACTTGTTAGGAACAGGAGTAGGCAAATGTCTTCGGTTTCTATCGACACTGCCAAAGAAATTGAAGAAATAGAGGTTAGCCCTCCTTCACGTCCTCAACAAGGTGTTATTGTCAGTAATCCACAGCATAATGAAAGCCACTTACAATCGGATGAGGTATATTTGTTTTTCTATTAAAAATTTTACCACAGATTTTCTAGGAAATTTGAATTTCCATCTATGAATCATATTTAGTTAACTCGTTCACAATTACCTTTTTTTCTTGCTTTGATCTTTGTTTCTTTTAAGTGGGGAGGCATATCTTCTGAGGAACATGATGAAGCTGTCATGCTTGAGGCTGCACTCTTTGGCGGAATCCCTGAAGGGAGTGGATATCCTCTTCCCTATGCACCGCATCAGGTCATGCAGAATGGCTTCGATAGAACTGTGGGTCCTAATTCTTGGTGGACACCGCGTCCTCCATCACCTTCTCTTGCTGCCCAGCGCTTGATACGGGAACAACAGGTTAACTTTCTGAGGCCATCTGTTCCGTGCCCTATAATTTCTATGTACTGGATTTTGCTACTTTTACTTGCTTTATCTCATCGACACAGAAATATAGATGGATATATCTATAAAATTATTGACTTGATGTCATTGCTATCAAACGCGTGCAGGATGATGAATATCTTGCTTCACTGCAAGCTGATAGGGAAAAAGAATTGAAGGCCAGGGAGGAAGCCGAAGCTCGTCGTTTAGACGAACAAGCAGCTAGAGAAGCTGCTCTTCAAGAAGACATGAGAAAGGAGGATGAATCACGTATAAGATTGGAGGAGGAACAGGTAATATTATCTTATTTTACAGCTAATATTGTCAACCAAATGCAGTTACTAGCAGGCCAACTCTCAACTTGCCAAAAATGGTGACCACCAATCATATATAGGCTGTAAATCAAGGCCTGTAATGGTCAGGCTCATTCAGAAACAGAAAAGTCGAGAGTGTGGTGAACAACCATTTGTTATGTTATGTCTCAACCTTCATAACTATCAGATGAAGCTGAGACTTCCATCTTATTGTATATTCACTGCAACATCTACGTAGTGCTCAGCTTAGAAATTAAACTGACCTACCCAGAAAAAGAAAAAGGAAAAAATGAAGGAAGAGTAGGAAAATGGTGCTAAATAGCTTGATCTTCATTTAACATGCAATATCATCTCCAGCTGGACAGTTGGCAGGCTGATAGTTTTCAGGTGAATATAACTTCTTACTAAATAAGATGTAAAGATGTTGCTTATTTCTTTCCTCTTGCAGCCGAAAGTGGAATGTTCTGTTGCATCAATAAAACCATCTAATCGGGACCCCGTATACCTCTTGTTCTTGATTTGTTACTTTATGGAGATTTGGTAAAGGAAATGTGTTCTCTAATACTCGTGTTGTGCGAATGATGCAAGGATGAAAAAGAATGGCATATAAGATTTTTTGTTTATTAGCCATTTGTGTGCTGGATCTTAAATTTCTACAAATTCATGCTTTATGA